AAAAAAAAAAAAAAAGAGAAAGTTACAGGCTGCGTACAAACATAGCAAGGAGTGACTTGAATAAAGAGAAGGACGGTGTGCATGTTTGAGATGGTCAATTCTCTACCGGTGTAGGATGTGGAATAGGTTGGCTCACTATAACTTGTACTACATAGTCCTTGGGAATCTTCAACTCCTCCAGTCTCATTTTGTCTGTCAGTGGCCGCCCCGAGAAGAACCATCGCTGACTGGCTGGTTCAACCCCTTCAACAGTGTGGAGGCGCCGCTTCATGTGATATACAGTGTCCGTGCTGCGCACCAATAGCCTAAGGTCCTTTCCTGTGGAGAGGCGTAGTCGCAGCTGGCATTCATGTCCAGAATTTGGAGGTGGCTCCGGTATGTCCAAAGTTTCTGTATCGCTCTTCTCCTCAATCATATTAATGGGAGGGGCAAGGCAGTAAACAGGTAGCTGGTAGCGGTTTCCCAGTTCATCATAGCACTCAGTAAGGGCACCTTGGAAGAGAAGGGATAGATATACATTTGTTAGAATAATTATACCATAATACACAGTAAAACATCATATAGAAACTATACAACAGAAGGTTCTACTAAGCTATAGGACAGGACTTGAAAATCTTCCCAATTTAAAGTGGACCTTCACCCTAAAATGATAAGTTATTCCCTCTCCCCCTCTACTACTTAAAAACATTTGTTTCCTTTCTTTTTTTAATCTGGCTCTAGTCCACCTTTGCCATTCTCGCCTAGGTGGGAATGGAGTCTCCTGCAGCCTCCTGGGATATCCACCACATATATCTGAGGATACTGCAGGAGTAGGGACACAGACCAGCCAGTGGGCAGAGCTGCGCATGTCTTTGGGAGGCATACTGCCTGTACCTGGAAGCATCAGCCAGCTCTTTTATTAGTAAGAAGCACCAATATAGCTGTGCGGGATCTGGTCTGTGTCCAAAATCCAATCCAAAATATTTTGATCACAAGAATATTCTCTCAAATTCATGGTTATGGCCTTGGTGTGGTTTAGCCCTCTTTTTCTTATATGTGGATCACACAGTGAAAAAAAGCTGGTGACCTCTAATCCTACACTCAAACTTTGCTTTGCAGAAACACAGTTGTTGTCATACCATGTTTTACCTGCAGGTGGCGCAGGAGATCATAGCATCCTATTCTGGATGAGCTAGTTGACAGTTCTTCTGCACGTTACTCAGCTGGCCCTCATTAAAAAATAGGATTTTTGTACTCACCGTATGAGGCAACAGATACAGTGGAGGAAAAGGCGTAAATTAGACCGTAATGACCCCAAGGGGCCACCACGGCCTCCGCCCAGGGATCCAGGGCCCGGGCCACAAACCCGTCCACCTTGCGGTTGAACGGAGACGCCAGAAGATCCTCCTCCGGCGTCCCCCAGCAACGACAGAGCTGCTGAAAAAACCTCGGGTGCAGAGACCACTCCCCCGGATCCACCGACTGTCGACTGAGGTAATCGGCCTGCCAATTGTCCACTCCTGGGATGTAGACCGCCGAGAGAGCCAGAACTCGATGTTCCGCCCAGGACAGAATCCCGAACACCTCTCGACCCGCGGCCACACTTTTTGTGCCGCCCCGGTGGTTGACGTACGCCACCGCAGTGGCGGTGTCCGACTGGGCCCGAACCGCCAGACCCTGGCCGACCAATGAGGGAGAGAGAGGCTTTCTCCTCCGCAAGACCCTGATGTAACATGCTAGCCCACTCCGAGTCTGAGAGACCATGGCCGAAGCCAAGGCCGGACGCATGAGAGCGCCCGAGAGAGTACAATCTTGCTAGAAGAAAATCCAGTCAAACGGAAGAAAGGAAAAAAATTCCTCAGAGAGAAATTTTTTTAGCTCCTTACTCCTGACGCTAGGCAAAAAACTGGAGACTTGTCAGCAGGTGGGGGGTTTGGCCACCGGCAGGGGCCGCCCCTAGGCTGTAATTGGTCTTTAGTTTTGTGCCTAGCGTCCTTCTCCTGCAGGTGGCGATATTACCCTACCATTCAGGATCTACGATCTGTTGCCTGTGTCCTTCAATGAACGGGAGAGAAATGTAAGAGTATTTTTTGTATTAGTGTCAGCTGGCACTCCCTCATGCCGCCTGAGCACAACACTGCGATATGCAAGCACCGAGTTTGCGGTTATCGTGCACCCTCTGTGCATGTCCACTGACCTCATTCTACATAACGGTAATTAGTCATCATAATGATTCTGGTAATCACATCCCCTGGGCTTTGTAACGCAACACCTAAGATAGGAAAACCCTTAACATAAAAAGAAAACAGATATTATCAGCCTGGAGCTTAATCCCAAGATGGTAGAACACTAACTTTACACAATGCTATGTATACGTGATCTAGAAAACATACCAAACAGATTTTATAGATCACATATATAATAGTGCGGATACAAAGCTCATATTTAACATGAACCTGTCCATTCACATGTGTTTGGTGAGGGTGTTTACATTTTTAAGACCCAAGTGCTTTACTTCTTGCACATATCGAGTGCTGGTGACTTCTATTATGGACTGTCAGCCATCCAGGCCCAATGTTCATTTCAGTAGGTTAGAGCCCCTGCTAATGCCCCCATACAGACCCCCCCCCCCCTTCTGCATTGTGGGGAATCTCCCCACAATGGACACAGTGGCAATAAAACCAATTTTTTTTTAGTAGGGTGGGGAAGGCTAGAACCCCAGTTAACGTATTATTGTCGTCTGTGCCCTATAAGCGATTTCTCACTGCAACAGTGACATTTTTCCTACAACAATAAAATAGGGGAAATCTGCTCAAAGGGAACACTTAAAAAAATAATCTTACAGGAGTTCTAATGTTCCTACTCTATCTTTAGAGAGCATCTTTTACCAAAATGTTTTTGAATAAAGTTCGTTAACCACTTTGTGTTTTCCATGCATGTTTAGGTGCACTTTATGTAGGACTAATTACCCTTTAACAGGAGTTTATTTGCCCAATGGACTTCCACAGTGTTATCGACCATTTGGTAACATAACCAGATGTGTGACCAATAGCTTGTTGTTCCCATTTCACCACGTATGGGTGTGAGCTATGACTTATTACTGGATTTGAATGTAATGGAAAAATTCTATATTCTTTCTTCCAAGATAACCAAGGGAGGGGTAAGCCCAGTTGAATTGAAGTAAAACAACTAAATCTCATGGTCTGGAAACACTTAAGGCTATAAAGCTGTTATTATAGATAAGCCTGCTAGTATCCATTTGTCTTGACTAACAGCATGATGGTGGATGACACTAACACATTTAACAGCAATGGATACATTTTACAACGCCATGCTTCTAAGCAAGTCTGTTATACAAAGTGCTCACTGGACTTTGACGTAAGGGAATTTTTCCTCTGCTAAGAAATAGGAATTCCCACTTCCATTAATATTGATAGCTGTTTAAATCAGGACTGCAAAGTCTTTTGGCATTTAATAATAAATGAACTCTGGGCAAACAAAACCTTTCATTTAAATATATTTCTTATTAGCTGCAAAGGATATAAATACAATATGCCAAATGTCTTTTGAAACACAGATGTTACCTTGTAAAAGTATTCAAATAATCGTGGCATCAATGGGCTGCACACAAATCTGTGCAAAATGCAGAGCTATGGGAGGGACCCAGCATGTCCACCCATTACAGGCTACTTGCAGAAAACTACAAGAGGGGGCAGAGAAAAGACCAGTCACCCTGCACAAAGAGAAAACAGCAACAAACCAGTACACTAGTGGGTCAATTTAAAAAACAATTGCAGAGCCATTCGCCATGCGAATCTGTCTATGTTCGTTCTGTGTGAATCGGTGCAAAAATTTATGTTCTTAGTATGTTTTCTTTTCCGGTTAAAAGTAACATTTGGAAAATACCATGTTATAGACACTAGAGAAAATACTTATTTCTTTGCTTCTCAGGCTCTGACAACTGTTTATAAATTGAGCCTCAGGTGTCCGAGGAGCACCACAAGCAGAGCCCAGTGCCTGGTATTGAACTACAGGCAGGCCCCCCTAATCTTCAGTCCAACAGGGTCTCGGTACAGCCTCTAAGATGGTGCCAAGAGTTCGCCAATCTGGATAACTGCATAAAGAGTGAAGATCAGCAGTCTTGATTGGAAAATAAAATATCTGGTTATCAAAAGAACAAAAAAGGCTAGAAAAACGGTTACATTTTTCTCTGTAGATAAAAAGAGGTCTATCCTCCTTGGACACTAGCAAAGAATGTAAGAACGATGGGACTGACTTGCTAATGTCTTTTTTGTTTGCCAGTGTCCACTTCTTCCAATTGTTCCCCTGTCCCTTAATCAATGAGAAAGTAAAATGGTTTATTCTTGCCAGATAATTCCTTCTGCATTTTAAATAACCTAAGGTGCGCTCGTGTGAATGTAGCCATACCTTTGCAAGTATAAAGTTTCTTCTTTCTGTCCGTCTCACTCAATTACAAATTGTAACCTTAATACCACATTGCTACATTCCTATCCTCCTAGGTAAACAAATACCTTGATATAATGTAACACTGTTCAGGGGTGCCCACTATTTTTCGTCTGGAGATCTACTTTTCAAATGACGAGCTCATTGAGATCTACCAACGAAAAAAACACCTGCATTCAGGGGCGTGGCGGTGCATTGAGGTCAATGGCACCGCCGCCAGGCTTTGCAGGCAGGCCCCTCGCCGACAGTGCGATCACCTGCATTAGTGCCTGTGTTCCAGTCCAGTGCGATCCGCAAAAATGCTGCGAGTGGGGGGATGGAGCCGCTGTGACAGAACTAAGGACGAGCAGTGAGGGGAGAGAGAGGCGCCGGCTGTCAGATTCTGGCCGAGCGTCTCTCTCCTCACTGCTCTGCATTAGTTCTGTGACAGCGGCTCCGCCCTCCCCCGCCGCCGGTTCCTTCACTTCTTCTCGGAACCCCGCTGGGGAGAGCAGCGGGGGTCCAGAGAAGCGGCGGGAGGAGAGGACATGGCGATCTACCAGTGATCGCTACGCGATCACTGGTAGATCGCGATAGACCTTGTGGGCACCCCTGATCTAGATTACCCGTCCAGCTGATATTACTGTCCAATTCAGATTTCATTCTTTTCATCTCAGTTAGGTAACATCTGTAACCGCAAGCTATGGTTAACACCGAGCTTTCTTTTATATACAAAAATGGCCTATTTTTATTTCTGTCTGCTGTTTGTGGTTACTATAGACCATTAACTAGTTTCAACATGTATTATCTGAAGTTAACTAGGGATGTTCAGATACCAAATACATATACAGACTTTTCCAGCTCCAGACTAGACTAGTTATTTGTAAGGAGCACACGGAGCTCCTGGGAGTTGTACATCTCTGTTTTAATGTATGATTTTGTTTGTATAAATATATATATAAGGGAGGCACCGATACCAGTTTTGCAAGTACAAGTACTGATACATTTGTGTTTATTGTCATGTGACAGTTTTTCTAAAACAATACAGACTAATGATTTCAGGACAGTGG